CGGTGCAACGGTGATATATTTAAACGTTTTTTTTTTTCAATCGGATAATAATTGTGACCTCTAGAGGGGCCATAATTCCGGAAGTTGCGATCCGATATGCGCGAATATCGAAAGGAAAGAGAGAGAGAAATGGGGTTTAATGTCCACTCGACACAAACTAGGTCATTTCAGGACTAACATATGGTTTAATTTTATTTTAATAATTCGCTTGCGTGTAGGGGTCTTTAGCAGTGGGAGGAAACCGGAGGACCCGGAGAAAAGCCACGAGGTTGGACAGGCGACCCTACTCCTTGTCACGTACAACCGGGGATTCGAAACCACCCCAGTTGAATCAATGACAGGCTTTATGATACAGCGTGCATATGCTAACCATTCGGCCATCCAACCCCCAATATCGAAAGGAACCAAGATCTTTGGGTTATAAACATGCATTTCAAGTTTCATCAAAATCAGGTGAAAATCATGACCTCTAGCGGGCCCACAAGCTAAAGATAGGTTGCCAGGCAACAAAACATACGCTCACAGCAGCTAAATCGTCCGAGCGGTCGACAAGGGTTTTTGCATATTTTTTTCTTCTGTAGGTAATTGGGGACATTTACAATAAAATTTCATATAGATCAGAATATAATTTTTGTCGTTTGAGGGTTCACAGTGTGCTACAAACTGAGACAAGGGCCTCAACTCGGGAAGTTATTTACAGAAAATTTTGAAATTTGATATAAATTTCATACAAATCGGATGATAACTTTTGTCATTTGAACGTTCACAAGGTTCACAAAGTAAAACAAGGGCCATAACTCTAGAAATAATTGACGGAAATTGCTGAAATTCACAAATTTAAATGATGCATATAAATTTCATACTGATGATAACTTTTATCAATCAAGCATTTAAAAAGGTTGAACAAAGTGAAACAAGGGCCATAACTCAAGAAGTAATTATTGTAAATCGCTGAAATTCAATAGGCTTCGTGGTTTCACTAATCTAAATGATGAATTACATGTATATACAAATCGGCTAATAACTTATCGGATGATAACTTTTGTCATTTGAACGTTCACAAGGTTCACAAAGTAAAACAAGGGCCATAACTCTAGAAATAATTGACGGAAATTGCTGAAATTCACAAATTTAAATGATGCATATAAATTTCATACTGATGATAACTTTTATCAATCAAGCATTTAAAAAGGTTGAACAAAGTGAAACAAGGGCCATAACTCAAGAAGTAATTATTGTAAATCGCTGAAATTCAATAGGCTTCGTGGTTTCACTAATCTAAATGATGAATTACATGTATATACAAATCGGCTAATAACTTATCGGATGATAACTTTTGTCATTTGAACGTTCACAAGGTTCACAAAGTAAAACAAGGGCCATAACTCTAGAAATAATTGACGGAAATTGCTGAAATTCACAAATTTAAATGATGCATATAAATTTCATACTGATGATAACTTTTATCAATCAAGCATTTAAAAAGGTTGAACAAAGTGAAACAAGGCCCATAACTCAAGAAGTAATTATTGTAAATTGCTGAAATTCAATAGGCTTCGTGGTTTCACTAATCTAAATGATGAATTACATGTATATACAAATCGGCTAATAACTTTTGGCGTTAGAGTTTCACAAGGTTCAACAAATTGAAACAAGAGCCATAACTCATCGTTTTAATAATTCAAATAATGCATATAAATTTCACAAAGATCGGATGATTACTTTTGGCGTTTGAACATTCACAAGGTACAAAAAGTACAACAAGTGAAACAAGGGTCATGACTCTAGTCCTAGATGTAATAAACGGAAATTGCTGAAATTCAATAGGATTCTTCTTTTTACTAATTTAAATGACGCATATAAATTTTATACAGATCGACATATAACTTTAGATGTTAGAGCGTTCACAAGGTGCAACAAAGTGAAACAAGGGACATAACTCTAGAAATAATAAATGGAAATTGCTGAAATTCAATAGGATTCTTCTTTTTACTAATTTAAATGACACATATCAATTTCATACAGATCAGCTGATAACTTTTGATGTTAGAGTGTTCACAAGGTGCCACAAAGTGAAACAAGGACCATAACTGTAGAAGTAATTAACGGAAATTACTGAAATACAACAGGCTTCTTCCTTTCACTAATTTAAATAATGCATATAAAATTCACAAAGATCGGATGATACCTTTTGGTGTTAAAGCATTCATAAGGTTCAATAAAGTGAAACGAGGGCGGAGGGCCATAACTCTAGACGTAATAAAACGGCAATTGCTAAAATTCAATATGATTCTTCCTTTCCCTAATTTAAATATTGCATATAAATTTCACAAAGATCGGATGTTAACTTTTGGCATATAGTTCTAGAAGTGATAAACAGAAATTGCTGAAATTCAATAGACTTCGTTTCCCTAATTGTAATAGTGAATATAAATTTCGCAAAGATCGGATGTTAACTTTTGGCATTAGAGCGTTCACAAGGTTCAACAAAGTGAAACAAGGGTCATAACTCTAGAAGTGATAAACGGAAATTGCTGAAATTCAATAGGCTTCTTTGTATCCCTAATTTAAATATTGCATATAAATTTCAAATATCGGATGTTAACTTTTGGCATTAGAGCGTTCACAAGGTTCAATCAAAGTGAAACAAGGGACATCACAAGTGTTCTTAATCGCTGTTTTTTGTCGGCTTTATGGCCCATAACTCTAAACGTAATAAACGGAAATTATTGAAATTAAATATGCTTCTTCGTCACACTAATGCAAACAACATATATCAATATTAAAACAATTGGATGATAACTTTTGGCATTAGAGCGTTCACAAGAAATTGTGGATGACGGACGGACCGACGGCAATATACATCCACATTTCCATGTGGGCGTATAAAAACGTGATTTTTCGTACAATCAGGGGCCATAATCCATAAAGTTATGGTACGATACATGTCAATATCGAAAGGAACCGAGATCTTTGGGAGATAGAACTATATTTTAAGTTTCAGCAAAAATCGTGACCTGTAGGGTGTCCACAAACAAATTGTGGACAGACGGGCCAACAGGGGCGACGGAATAATACGTCCACATGAAAATGTGGGCGTATAAAAATTGATCTTTTTTTACATAAAGATAGGTTGCCAGGCAATGAAACCTTCCGCCCACAGCAGCTAAATCATCCGAGCAGTCGACAAGGGTTGTCGCATATTTATTCCTTTGTAGGTAATTGGGGGCCTTTACAAGACAGTTCCATACAGGTTCTACAAACTGAAACAAGGGTCTGAACTCTGGAAGTAATCTACAGAAATTGTTGAAATTTGATAGGCTTTTTCGTTTTACTAATTTAAATAATGCATATAAATTTCATACAGATCACATGATCACCTTTGTCATTCAAATGTTCACAAGGTTCGCTAATCACCATAACTCTAGAAATTATTGACGGAAATTGCTGAAATTCAATAGACCTGTTTCACAAATTTAAATGATGCATATAAATTTCATACAGAGCGGATGATAACTTTCATCAATCGAGCATTAACAAGAATTAAAAAGTGAAACAAGGGCCATAACTCTAGAAGTAATTATTGTAAATTGCTGAAATTCAATAGGCTTCGTGGTTTCATTAATTTAAATAATGCATATAAATTTCACAAAGATCCAATGATAACTTTCGGCGTTGGAGCGTTCACAAGGTTCAATAAAGTGAAAAGAGCCATAATTCTAGACGTAATGAACGGAAATTGCTGAAATTCAATAGGATTGTTCTTTTTACAATCTGCTTAAAACACAGATCCTATTTTGTTTCGTTTTTATAGTTGTCTTTACTACACTTGGATCTGGAAGACTTGTTATTTAACTCGTGTTCTGCTGAAATGAGGGGTCAGCCAATCAAATGGTCTGTCGAATCGAGTGTTTGACCTTTTTTGCCCGGAACTGTGGGTAATCCACTAGTAACATCAATGCTGATTGGTTAATCAAATGTCTTACATCATAGGTCAAAAGTCCCATGGTGCAACAAAGTGAAACAAGGGCCATAACTCTAGAAGTAATAAACGGAAATTGCTGAAATTGCTGAAATTCAACAGGCTTCTTTGTTTCACTAATCTAAATCATGCATATAAATTTCACAAAGATCGGGTGATAACTTTTGGCGTTAGAGTGTTCACAAGGTTCAATAAAGTGAAACATGGGCCATAACTCTAGACATAATAAACAGAAATTGCTGAAATTCAATAGGCTTCTTCGTTTTACTAATCTAAATAATGCAAATAAATTTCAGAAAGATTGGATGATAACTTTTGGCGTTAGAGCGTTTACAAGGTTCAATAAAGTGAAACAAGGGCTATAACTCTAGACGTAATAAACGGAAATTGTTGAAATTCAATAGGCCTCCTCGTTTCACTAATTTAAATCATGAATATAAATTTCACAAAGATTGGGTGATAACTTTTGCCGTTAACAGTGTTCACAAGAATCAATAAAGTGAAACAAGGACCATAATTCTAGATGTAGTAAATGGAAATTGCTGCAATTCAATACGCTTCTTCGTTTCACTAATTTAAATAATGCATATAAATGTCACAAAGATTGGATGTTAACTTTTGGCATTAGAGCGTTCACAAGGTTCAACAAAGTGAAACAAGGGCCATAACTCTAGATGTAATAAATAGAAATTATTGAAATTAAATAGGCTTCTTCATCTCACTAATTTAAACAACATATATCAATTGGATGATAACTTGTGGACGATGGGCGGACGGACGCGATGGCAATATACGTCCACATTTCAATTTGGGCGTATAAAAATAATGAGGTTATTTCTGATAACAATGGAAAGGGTAAGACACATTTTATAATGAGGTCATATGTCATGTACAAAACACCTGTTTGATGCAATTGGTTATTTAAAATTTCTCTGTACTGCATGTTAAGTTTATTGCAAAAGTAATTTGTTCAACTTTAATTAACTTTCGAAGGTGACTGTATTTAACTGTAACTTACCCTTATTATGTGTTCAGTATCCACAGCTACATCTTGTTTGTCTGGTGGAATCACATTTTTATCATCCTAAACCAAATAATAAAGTAAGAAATTAGTATTTCATGAAATTTTTTGATTTACAAATCATACACTACATGTATTACCATATTTTTCTATTGTTGAATTCTGCAATTTACCAAGTGAATATCAGAGTTAACTAGAGCTGCAACGATTCACAACTACCTCGATTCGGTTCGATTATCGATTTTAACCATTCGATTCGATTATCAGCTACAATAACCAGTAATTTTTTCTATATATACTATTCAAAAAAAGTAGGGGATATTTGATTTTTAAGTGTTATTAAAGTTCACATTCATCGATTTATTCCAAATGATCGTTAGACTTAGTAAGGCACAGACTGACCATTATAAGGGTAAAATGATACCCGGGGTCAAACAGCAAAGTTACCACAGCATCACAACCAAGTCAGTAACGGGTAAATCCTCCTCTGTTTGCCAAACAAGCATTGATCCGACGTGGCATACTCCTAATGAGACGTCTAAGGTCATTTTGGTCCAGATTGTCCCATTCCTGTTGCAACGCAGCAGCAAGTTCTTGGACATTGGCAGGACGTTGTTGACGTTGACGTAACCTCTGTCCAAGCATGTCCCAGACATGCTCAATGGGGGAGAGGTCGGGACTCAGTGCTGGCCAAGGTAATGTGGTGATGTTCTGTTGTTGGAGGTAACCTGTAACGATCCTGGCCCTGTGACATCTTGCGTTGTCATCCTGGAAGATGAAACGGCGGCCATGACGTCGTGCGAACGGCACAACATGGACTGCCAAGATGTTGTCCCGGTAGTACTGGCCTGTAACACGCCCTGCAACAACATGTAAAGCCGTTCTTCCAGCAACAGTGATGCCTCCCCACACCATAACAGAACCACCCCCAAATCCATCATGTCTGATGACGTTAACGTCTTGGAAGCGCTCGTTTCGACGACGCCACACCCTCCTACGTCTGTCCAAAAAATCAACAGTGAACCTTGACTCATCTGAAAACATCACATTGCTCCAGCGTCGATTATCCCAGTGTTGACGATCCCTACACCAACGACGTCTTGCCTGAATGTGATGATCTCTCAAACAAGGGATCACGCGAGGATGTTGGGCGCGAAGGTGACCCCTATGCAGTCGATTCCGAATCGTCTGGCCACTCACTCTCACACCAGTGTCTGTTTGAAGACGAGCGCTGATCTGATTTGCTGTGATGACACGATTTCTCAAGGCCAAGGTACGGATAAATCGATCCTGGGCTTGAGTTGTCGCCCTTGGTCGACCTGAGCGTGGTCTGTCCTGTACAGATTGTGTATCACGGTATCTGGACCATAGCCTGCTTATGACAGACTGAGAAACATTCATCGTCCGCGCCACAACCGCCTGTGTTGTGCCGATCTGTAGCATGCCAAGGGCACGTAACCTTTCATTTTGGGTAAGCCGACGCATATCAAAATTTGTTTTCTGGTCACTAAAACAATTAAACTGATGTTTCCACCCTGGAATTCAATGCCACAATGACTGTAACATTCAAAGTCAGAGTCGTGCAAATCTTGGGTTGGACCCCCATGATGATCCCAAGCATCACCTGCATTCCATGCGGTAGCTATTGGTGCGTTTGGGCGTCACATGTAACTGGAAATGTTTCTTCTGTTAGGTTCTATAGTGACTTTTTTCGTAGTCATTTGCATATTTTAGTATTATGCCCCCAAAATCAAATATCCCCTACTTTTTTTGAATAGTATATATGTCAGTGAAGCATACTCTACAAGTTGCCACATCTTTAGAGTTTTTTCTTACACCAAAATGATCCCAACCTTTAGATTTCAAATGACCAGTTGGTCGAGAAAGTACGTCGTCTGCCATAATTTTACCTTCCAGTGTTTGCTTGACTATGGGTAATAATCGCTAAACACGAAAATATCCGAAGATAATGACCGGAATTATCAGCTAATGAGATCGTTTAGAATTTATAGAACGATTACCGAAGCTATTGACCTAAATTAACATCCAATGAACATTCAGTACGTCACCAATTTTAAATAAATTAACTTTCGTCAGCATACGGAAATTGTTTTAAAGGGAGGTCACTCTGTTTTAGTTATGTTTTCGAGTGACATTCGTGTTTTGTTAAATAACGTAAATTAAAAGTTACGTAAAAACAAAGTTTTTTTTAAATTTTAAGTGGACTTAATTGCTACAGGTCTTTCATTTTTTTTCATATGGTAAGGTGTACGTTGTTTTTATTTGAAATTGAACCGAATCGAAATTTGAACGTTGTAGATCGTGGATCAAACCGAGACGGCTAAGGTCGGTTATCGGTGCACCGAACTGAATCGTTGCAGCTCTAGAGTTAACATGAAAATGTGGGTGTATAAAAATGAATACATTGAAAATTTCAGTCAAATTACTTATTCTGAGCAAAGTTATGAATTGAATGTTTATGTTTTTTATCAAGAAATAACCTAAACTGTCTCGATTGTATCAATAAACGAAGTCTCGATTTGCAGTCCTTCAATCAACAGTCTGATGTAGAAAAAGTAACTACATGACACACATTTTTTAATTGTATAAGCTCTTATTTATCTTTTTATAAAGCATCAATCTTCTTGCTTATCAGTGCTTAATGTGAGCAGAAAATGTTCATTATTCAAGCAGAAATATGTTCCGAAAGATGACAGATGAACATATGCATTTTATTAGTCCCCGTTTTTTAACCAATCAAATTGCTCATCATCAAACTTAGTCAGAGTATTGATCTACTGAAACTATACTCCGAGTTTGATGCACTGAAACTTTACTCCAAGTTAGATGATACAAAATAGTCTTATTTCATCGAGATCAGCAGGACTAAGTATATCAATTTTTCATTTATCCTTTTGTTTTCTTGGTAAATATTACCTGATTTTGAATCATCATACCAATTGTATCGTAGCACCTGAATCGCAATACGTATCGTATTGTGCCTGCAGTGGCAATATCCAGCACTAAGTGACTAATACACTGCACACTTTAATTACTTCAAATGTAACAGTCGTTTTCATAAATTCACTCTCAATGCTTGGAAACAATTATTATGGTACATCACCAAATCGTTGAATTCATCTGTGCACTTAGTAACAGAGTACATGTACAATGTAGGTCTTCAGTACAACAAATAGCACACATGACATATTATGGAAAACAAAATGCTAGTTTATTTTCCCAGAATTAAATTCACGACTTTACGGTAGTTGTGTTGTTTATAAATAATTTTACTTTTTGTACAAGTTTTCCTATTGGAACACAGATCAATACTGAATTGTTCACCATAAAATGTTTTGAATATTTTAAAAATAAAATAACAATTTATGTACCAGGGTATAAGAAACTTCATTAAAGATGCAAGAGCTAAATCTGCCTATAATTAGTATAATACATGTATTTATATGGTTAGCCATTAGAGACGGAGAGTAATCTGTCAGTTAATTTAACCTATGACAAGGCTGGAAAGTAAGTGATTGATCTGTTAAGTTCCTTTAATAAAGATACATTCCCGCGTACAAACTTTGTGATTTGATGATATATTTGGACTAAAAACATACTCAAAGTAACCAATCATTCAAAATTTTGCCCTCACATCTCTCTCAAAACTTTGTATTTGCCAGGGATACCTATAGCTATAAGTAAGCTATTCACCAATCTGACTCAAAAGCAAATTAAGCTCATCATATCAAAAAGCTCTACTAAAACATGTGATCTAGACCCTATACCTACACATCGATCTATTTGTATCCATCATATCCAAAATTATTAACTGATCTCTTTCATCTGGTCACTTTCCCACGGAACTAGCAAAAGCCATTGTTAAACTATTACTGAAGTAATCAAACATGGAAACTTTACTCAAAATCACCAAAGATATCTACCGAGCTATAGATCAACAGAAAGAAATGTGTTATCTTGGTACTCTTAGATCTATCAGCCGCATTTGATACGCTCGATACCGAGGACCTCCTTGATGCATTATGGTGTGAAATTGACTTGCGTGGTTCTGTCTTTAACAGGTTTAAGACATATCTAACCAATCGCACCCAAGCTGTCAGAATTAGAGATTCAACATCCGACGATAATACAATGCTTTGTGGGGTACCGCAAGGTTCTGTACTCAGACCTGTACTTTTTATTATCTTCACAAAGCCTATCACTAAGATTGCTGAAGGCTATGGGCTAAATATTCATTTGTTTGCAGACGACACCCAACTTTATATTGAATTTGACACAGACTCTCAACATTCTACGATACAAAATATAGAACTTTGTCTCACAGAAATTCTTGCGTGGATGACAGAACATTTCTTGAAATTAAATCCAAATAAAACAGAACTGCTAGTAATTGGAACCAAGCAACAACTCCGAAAAATTGATCAAGCGTTAGTTAATTTTGATAAAGAAATAATTTCAGGAATCCATAAAGCTCGAAATATTGGGGCTATATTAGACTTAATCCAGTACTTTTCTAGAAAGATTGGGTGTCTTATGTCTATACTTTCCATATATACCAAATTTGGCATACTTTTATTGGAAATAACCACCAAAAATATACTTTTCTGGGAAAGTATCTTTAACTATTGTTTTACTAAATGTCTTAAGATTTAATCTTTCAATAATAACAAGCCAACAGTGAAGCTGATGTCCCCCACCGAAATCCACAAATAAATAGATGACACATATTAATTAATCGCACATCTATTTTTTTTCAAAAGTATCAAGCAATCAAACTGATTATCAACTATACACTAAGTTTCATCACTCTATCAGATGGAATCAAAGTTATCTTGTCCCAAAGCATCGACCAAGGAAATTGCTTATCTCTGCTTAGCTTTAGCTCTATATGTTAATCATTGAACTAAGTCAAGACGAACATCTACATCAAGTTTAAACATTCTACCTCAATTAGAAGCAGAGTTGTTATGTTCCAAAGTCCTGACCAATCAAAATGCTTATTGCTCCTCAGCCTAAGCAGACAATTCTTATCATC